CAGGTCCTTTGGCTTTTCTTCCCAGTTTTCCACAAACTCTTCTGGTTTATGTTTCTCACCAAAAACCTGTTCCATCTTTTCTTCTCCTCTGCTTCCTTTCAAGTCTAATATAATGCAACATGACTTGCCCCAGTGTTGGAGATGTTAAATCAGATTAATCAGGTTCAGATTCCTTTTGATTGATGAAAGAGCAGCTCCACTCTGTGCTGTCAAAGAGCATGATTATCAGTGGGAGTGTATGGATCCACTGACTTCATCTGAGTGGGAACATCAATAGCTGCTGAAGCAGAAATGCTCTCTGAACAGAGCTGCCCCGACCACCAAGTCCCATTCAAAACAAGTGTGTTCTGAAAACAGGATATAAATAAGTGGGTGTGAAACGCCAGTGTGCCTGGAACGTCAAAGACGTGGAGATGAATCTGTGTCCATGTTTGCACGGCAGATTACACACATTCATCACGACGTGAATACATGAATCCCTTACTTGGAATGTGGAATGGAGAGATGGTGTCGCTTTCCTCCGACTCCCTGGGTTTGTCCTCCGGCACGTTCCCGTTCTCGATCTCCACCTTCCCGTCAATCACTTGTGTCTCCACGCCGTTGGCAGCTTGGACCAACTTCTGACGCTTTCAGAAAAGAGAAACTAAGTGGAGGTGCAGGTACGCAGAGGCACTGTTGCTTTAGTTGTCGTTGACTGTCAATACTTTTCCACTGTAACCAATGATCACATCAACAAACGGCGGCGGGAACAACTCTCCATCACCACGTACATTTGTGTATTTCAGTCACAAATTTAGTCTGAAACTGAACTGAAATGTAGCTGTAGCTGTTGGAGCGTCAACGAGAAGCTGTACCTCTGTAATGATGAGACGACTGGCCATTCGCAGACGGGTCTTGGGTCCAAAGTGGCTGGTGACCATGACGCGAAGCCCAGCCTCCGGAAACCTGAACTTGGACGGGCTGGCGTTCATGATTTCGTCCACCATCACCACCGAGCCACGACTGTAAGTTTTGGTGGGTTTCACTGGTGGAGGTGGAGGGAGAACTTGTCACACGAGCACAGAAC